TCGTACTGAAGCAGGAGACTGAAACCTTCATGTTGACTCCTGATTATGAAGAAAGTGACGACAGAGAACCAGAACCAGTCGGTGAGCACCAGCTCTCTCAAAACTCTCCTGTAGCTGAGAGCCAAGATCAGCACAGAAGAAAACATGTGGATTCAGGATCAACTAGAAATGAAGAAACCAGAGCCCAGAAGAGTCTTCATGAAAACAGGAGTCACGATTACAGTGATAACTCTCCTAAATCAAAGATCCAGTCTTGTACTAACACAAAGGAAAGGTCTTTTAAATGTGACACTTGTGGAAAATCTTATGGTCGTAAGAATCRCTTGAAGGATCATATTAAGAGCCACACTAGTGAGAAACCTTTCTGTCAAACATGCAAGAAAAGTTTTGYAAATASTAGAAATTTGAAARTCCACATGAGAACTCACACTGGTGAGAGGCCATATTCTTGCCACCTGTGTGAAAAACGTTGGGTAACTAAAGGTGATTTGAAGGTTCACATAAGGTTTCACACGGGTGAGAGGCCGTATTCTTGCAAAGTATGTCAGAGAAGTTTTGTAACTAGTAGTGATCTGAAAGTTCACACCAGAATTCACACGGGTGAGAGGCCGTATTCTTGCAAAGTATGTCAGAAAAGTTTTGTAATGAGTGGCGATCTGAGAGTTCACACCAGAACTCACACGGGTGAGAAGCCGTATTCTTGCAAAGTATGTCAGAAATGTTTTGTTAGTAGTGGTAATCTGAAAGTCCATATGAGGAGTCACACAGATAAGCCATTTCCTTGCAAAGTATGTGACAGGTTTTTTAAACAGAAGAGAGTTGAAAAAGCACATGAAAACTCACAGTTGAGAAGCCATATTCTTGCCAAACGTGAGAAAAGATTTGGAAGTAAGGGATCTTGAAAGTCCACATGATGAATAACATATGAGAAGCCATACTCCTGCAATATCTGTGGGAGACCATTCACTCAGTCGACAGACAAGCAAAGACTTTCAGAGTTCGTACACAATAGAACTTGTATATTAACGTAACACATGAGACAGTTTTCAGGGTTAGTGGTTAACGTTCGACAAGAGAAGAGTTCTCACTGGTTGAATTCCTATCATCACAGCAACCCCTCAGGGTAAACATATTCATATCTGACACATTWGGAAAATCATACAAGAGGAATTTGTCTTTTAATTTTATGTTTCTTGTTTTCAGTGAAACAAACTCATGTACAATATGTTCTATGCTGCTTTATGAAATGTGCCATAGAAATACATTTTTATTTTAATAACTAGAATATAGTTAATAATGAATTCAACACAGTATCCTCGGTACCTGTTTCACAGTTATAGCACTCTTGTGTTGCTGTTGACTAATCATTAAAATAGTTTTTACAAGGATTTTAGTGTTATTGAAGGACAGGAAGATGCACAGCTTCATATAGTAGAGTCCTCACAATCATATTCAATACAGGTGTAGAGTCCACATTTTATTATGTAATAACCAGAATATTTCTTTCAATGCTGATTCTTCAGACTGATGTTCCCAATTTGATAATTGATTATTAGGGGATGCCCAAAGGTGAGAAACTATCCCCGAAAAATTTCTGGTAAATAGTTTTGCACAAAGTTGAACGTTGAAAGTTCACATGAGAACTCATACAGGTAAGAAACCATATTCTTGCACTAAATGTGGGAAAAGATTCTGTCATCTAACGCACATGAAAACGCATTTAAGAGGACATCCAATGTAAAAGAGTCAAAAGTTGTTTTCATTCCTCTGTATGCTGGCACTACGATGACCTGACCAGGGTGCACCGCACATCTCGCCCAGTGTCAGCCTGGAAATGGACTTCAGCTAAGGATTAGTTGTAAGAGCAATGAGACTTGATATAATTAAGGTACATTAATGGGTCAGTTCTTAAAAGAGAGGTCCTGCGCACAGAAAGTAGAGAAACTTAGAAAGCATGGTCCCTTCTGAGGCCATAATTATAAAGAAAATATGGTGGTTGAGTAACTGGAGATGTTTTGATGCTGAGATGATTTTAATTTATTTTTCAATTATTTTAAAGGAAATGTTTTAGTGGGTTCACCACAATGACAACTTGTGTCTATTTCTCACCACCGAGCGGCAGCAGAGATCCTCCCCCCGGAGTAAACGCACCCTTCACCATATGGCCAAAATTATGCAGACACCCAAACAGCCTAAACTAAAGTTTAGCCAATTTACTATGTCCAACAGGAACATGAGCATTGTGGAGAAGAGAGTATTCCTGAGCTTTGGAGCTTTAAATTCATTAAAACTGCACCAAACTACACACACACACACACACACACACACACATAAATCAGTTCCCTAAACATGTCTGGTCTTGTCATTAAGATCCATGAATTGTTCTCTGAGATATCAGAGAAAATGTTAAAAACGTCCCGTCTTGATTCCTGGTTCTGCCAGAAGGTTCTCCCCCGACTCACCAGATCCTTCCACCAAGTTCACAAACAGACAAACACAGCAATAAACAACATGGGTGAAAATACACGCGTGATGCCGGTTAGAAGAAAACACTGTGGAACAAATAAACAACAAATGTGAAAAAAGACTTTGAAGAAAGAAAATTAAGAGAAAATGTAAGAAAGACTTGATGTTAGTGAAATTTGAAATGTGTGAGTCAGAGTGTCCGTAATTCTTTGCTCACGTTAACCGACGGGTGTTCATCATGACAACATGGTTTGAAGGGAAAAATGATTAAATACCATGACTACAAATGTCTTTTTAATATTCTTTGCTTTCATTAAGCACTTTGTGAAGCATTTAATCCATCATTTGATCAATAACATTTATTATTTTTATATAATGAATCTATAATAATTGACGGTTTTAATGATTGTCACTTGTTTGTAATCAGAAAAACCTCGAATGTCGAATCAGCTATGAGACTGTACATGTACATTCACTTTGTATGAGAAATCTACAGCCACACACACACACACACACACACCTAGACGTTTGGTGACAGTCATTAGTGTGTGTGTTGAGCATGAATAAATTGTAGTTGGAGGGGGGCTGTTAATGCAGTTAAGGACAAAGGGCTGTCAAACACACTGATTCTGCTTCACTGACACTCCCCTCCTATGGAGCACATTCCGGACTCAGGAAGGCCCGTCTCACCCGAGGCCGACAGGGGATTAAAATGAAGAAATGATTAAATATGGATCCGCTCCTGAAGCTCGCTCACTGATCGAGGAAAGAAAAGTCTGAGTCTCTTCAAAGCTTTTACGTATTTTAAAGTCTCTGACCATCACTTCTGTTTTATTTGTAGTAAACTTAAAGCTTATTGGGAATCTAGGGTTGAATCCGACTTTTGGGGGCTTTTAGCCCAAAAGCAGAGGTTTGTCTCCTGCGCCTGAGAGTAATTACATCATTAGGAGTACAAATGGCTAATTTTGCTATTCTCCTCAGATCATCCGTAAGACCATGACCCAATTTCAGCACCCAATCAAAACCCAGAGCAGAGATCTCCTGAACCAATGGGATGCTGGGGGCCACCCCCCAGCAAACATAATAATAAGAGGCCGTATAATAACACAAGGGGGAAACTTGCAGGAGCCTGCTCAGTTTGCTTTTGGAGATTACTTTGCCTCTCTGAAAACAGTCACCATGGTCGACGCCTTCTGTGCCACTTGGAAACTGGTCGACAGTGAGAATTTTGATGATTACATGAAAGCACTTGGTGAGTTATAGACCTTTTCCCTTTTAAATCTTTTTATAGTTCAGTGTCAAACCCTTTAGATCATTTGTCGAGACCTTCAGAGTTTGGGGTAAGTCAGGACGTTAATGACCAATGTTTCACCCCCGTCCTCTGCTCAGGCGTGGGCTTTGCCACCCGGCAGGTTGGTAATGTGACCAAGCCGACTGTCATCATCAGCCAGGAGGGCGACAAGGTGGCGATCCGCACCCAGAGCACCTTCAAAAACACAGAGATCTCCTTCAAGCTGGGAGAGGAGTTCGACGAAGCCACCGCGGATGACAGGAACTGCAAGGTAAGATGACATATGTGATATATATATATATATATATATATATATATTTAAAAACTTTTTTTATGCATCAACCCACAGTTCAGAGACACCAGGAGCTATTTAAGACTTGATTTGACTTTTGTCCTAAACCTTCCCTGATTATTAATTGCATGAAAAACCTTATTCAATTCTAATCTCTGATCTTATTTCTTACCACTGCTCTTTCTCCAGCTTGAATAAATACAACCGATCCCTTTTTCAAATGCACATCCTTTCTTTATGTCTTTCAGTCCACAGTGTCTCTGGAGGGAGACAAGTTGGTCCACGTCCAGAAGTGGGACGGCAAAGAGACCAAGTTTGTCAGAGAAATCAAGGACGGCAAGTTGGTCATGGTAAGAAAAAAGAACAAGATCCCGCACGTCTGATGTACATTTGCTAGCAAATAGAAAGGGACAATAAAACTTGTTTTACTTAAGTGTTTCTATGCAGCCACATGATCACAAATGAAAGTTTGGCTCCCTAAAGAAAGATAAAGTAAACTCATTCTTTTGTGTGCATCACTGAAATAAGCAATTAAACACAGAGGAAGCATGTTTCAGGAGCTCAGTACATTCAGGGAGCAAACTCACAGACACTAACATCAAATCTCTGATCGTCTTTCTGTCCTGACTGGGAAAACTTCTCCCCAGTCTCACACTTCACTCACTCCTCTGTCTCATATGAAGAGGAAATGTTTCAGAACAAGTCACATTAGTGGAGTGCAGCTCCTCAGACGTAGTTATTCTGGAATGTTTTGTGCGTGGAAAAGTTTTGCAGGTTGTCTCTTTTGGATCATTTCGAAAAAATAAAGTGAACTTTGTTTCGGAGGCTCCAAGAATCAGTGTTTATTTTTGTGCCCGTCCTCTCTCCCTTACAGAATCTGACCTTCGAAGACATCCACGCAGTGCGTACCTACGAGAAAGCATGAGTGCTCCGACCGCCGGCACCCCAAACCAGCCAGGAAGTGTTGATGCTATAATTATTATTGACTGACTGTCTGCTTCTCTTTGCACTTCATCTTGCTCCACATGTTCACGACCCGCAGGCTGCACATTTTGTAAGATTGATTTTTTTTTTATATGAATACGTTTCTCGTGATGGATGGATCATCTTTGCAAACCTGTGTGAAACATGAAATAAAAAATAACACAGAGAGTAAAACGTTTGGTGTCGATTATTGAATATGGTGATTAATACATTTGAACAGTCAGACACAAAACCTAAATCTTGACCTCTGACCTTTCTACAGAGCAGGGGAACAGAACAGAAATAATCTGTGTCTGATTGATCCCTGAGGGTTTTTTACTGGATTTTCAGAGTCTCTTTAATCCTGGCTGCAATGTGAACAGAACATGTACTCAAGTATACTATACTGGGGATTTAAATATGGTTTAAATCCCATTTAGGTTTGTGCTCAGTAGAGCTACAATAAAATTCAAAATGTTTGAGCAATCCATGTCTTTGCT